CCACTGTTAGGGAGGGGATGATGCTGCCGTGTGCAATATTACACTTTGTGGTGTAACATGTCATGAAGGAAAATGACACATAATTATTATGGTACAGGATAAAATTGCAAACCTGATGGCCTTGTTATTCAAAACAAAGTGCTAACAAGGAGTCAGCGCCGTCCCTTCTGACTTCTCTCTCACTCTCCTTGTCTCTTGTTACATATTTAGTCTAGTTTTCCCACACGTTTTCATACCTCAAGGTTATTTTTCTGAATGTCTATTTATCATTTAAAGCTTTGCACGCCTACTCCCGCCTCCTCACGCCATGACTAGTTATTTTCTCAATTGACTATAGTCCAGCTTCCCATTACTCATGCTGAAATGCCCTTTCCTCTCTGAGAAGCTCACAATCCTGAATTGTTTTCTTTTACTGGACAACCCAAAGCCTCCGTACTACTTGTAAAACATTATGTCCATTATCAATGATTGTTGCCTGCAGTTTCCACCCTCTGTGTGCACGTGTTGCCGTATGCGTGACCATGTGCTTGTTGACCCATATGCTGCTCTCAGATTCTCACATTAACCTCAATCCTGCTTTCTTCCAAATTAGATTTTTATTCTTCTGTCTCCATGTTGACTTATTTGCTTCTCTTTCATCATCTCCGGCAAGGTTATCCTGAGGCAAGCAGCACTTTTATGGGAACAGGGGGGCGTAGAGGAGGGGTGGAGGGCTTGGCTTTGCCTCCAGCCATGCCTTAATCGATCTTGTTGTGAGCTGAATTTTTCAACCCGTCCGCTCGTTAACAATTTTCAAGATGTAATTAAGAAGAGAATTAATTTAATGTCAATTACATCTTAAAATGAGCAGGGAACGTAAAAATGCACAACAAAGAAGAGTGAGAGAAGTGGGGAGAAAAGGGAAAATATGGAGAAAAAAGGAGGCTAATTAGTGGATGGTGTTGTGTTCATGAATCATTCCAGTTGAAACATTTCCTCCCTCTCCCTTTCAACCCCATTTTCCTCTCTGCTCCTTGTTCTTCTTCTGTTTCTCACTCTGAATGTATATCTGCAACAGCCCGCAGCAAAAAAGAAATTATCACATATTTTGTTGCCATTGGCACACAGTATGGGTATGCAAATATGAGCATAAAAAGAGACTTCAGCATTGTTGGCATTCTCTTCCTACACATAAAGCACAACCAGATATAAGACTGAAGTGATTCAAGTACTTCTGTGTACTTTATTAATTTTTTGACTGTTGAAAAGCACAGTAAATGCCATCATATCATCCATACAGTATATCATCCACATGACATGAAAGAAAACCATGAGGAACAAAAAAGATTAAACAGACAAACCTCCACTGCATGACCCACATTTAAATACAACTTTATTCAGATCTGAGGACTCTTAGCTTTTATATATATATATATTTATATGTATATTTATATTTTCGAAAGGTCAGGTTTTGTTACTATGCTTTGCTGAGGGGACTGGTGTTGCAGTCTCTAAGGCCAAATATCCACATGTCTGTTGGCATTAGATGGCTAACACCGTCCATCCAACAGCAACATGATCGTCTCCTAAACTTAGTCCAGCAGCCTTCCTTAGTTCGCCCCAGAGAGGCGGAGAGGTTGGAGTCTCAGTGTATTGCTCTGAATCTGAGACGACGAGTAAGGAACAGAGTGAGTGGCTTGCTCCCAGCATGTAGCCCAACATGTGTCCTTTTTTTCTTCACAAGTTCACTGCTGTGGGCTCATGTTGCCCAGCTTTGATTCCAACATGTGTGAGTATCCAGCTTCTCTCCGGACGCCCTGCGGGAGGCGGGGAGAGGAGTATTGAGGTTACTGAGGCGTATCTGTGTCGGGCACTCCATTGGCATTCTCTCGAGGAGATTTCATGTCCTCACAATCCAGGGGCTTATGTAGGATGCTTTGAACAGGGGAGAGGAAAATACCTAAACCAGCACATCTTAAGACTATGCGTGAACGCACAATTGTTTGATGGGATACAGATATAGAGAGGAATAGATAAATACAAAAGGAGGGAGGAATGTTCTCGCTGTTGATGTTCTGTTAGCTCGGCATTAAGCTCACAGGGATTAGCCAGCTCAGCTCAGCGCTGTGCTCAGGGGGCCGGGAGGAGCAGCAATGGGGAACTACCCTCCGCAGGGTTCAACACCAGGGTAAGCAAGGTAGAGAGGGCATGGAGGCTGAGGGCAGTCAGCCGGGTCACACACAGGGAGACAACAGCGTGAACTCTGCAGGAGGACATATGGCTGAGAAACATGTGGACAGGGGCAGAGAGATGGAGGATGAGGAAATGAATGAACAGAGCAAGAGGCAGTGGTTCATTCATGCTGGTTGATGTGCATTTTACAAGCCTTGTATCTCATCAGCAGACAGGACTTACATCTATATTGCATGTTCCGCTGGGACTCTTTATGTATGCTTTAAATATTAATGCTGCATTACTGTGATGTGGTCGGAATAAGAAGTAGTCCTTACAAGCTTTCTCCTAGTTGGCACTCTCAGTGGTGGTCCCCTTTTTAGGAAATTCCACTCACATTATTTATATTGAGACACATGTCAACATATATCGGTGTATATAGGCAACATTGTTGAATATATAATACGGTCCTGTGCAACATAAGTGCTTACTCAATTATATTTCGAGGGAGGGTTGTGGGTTTCAACAAAAACGCAACAAAACTGTGAGAAATGTAATCGTTAAGCTTAAAATATGTATGTTTGCTACTAACGTTAGAGAAGTACAAATGTCAACCTTGACTTTAGATTTGATCCAGGAAACAAAGAGCGTTCTCCTGGGTAAAAGTCTGGTGTTTGTCCGACCCATTTATCTCTCTCGACCTTGTTTAAACGTGGACCTCAGCATAGTTTGAAGAGAAACATATTTGTGATACATCAAAAAGAAGTGTAGTCGGAGAGAAAATAAGTTATCCTCGATACATATGGCAAAGCAGCGTAATTTTTAGGTTGATATTTGAAAAATCTGTTTTAATAAAACAATCACACGCAAGAGGAGACAGAGGTTTGCTTTAGCCAGATGAAAAGCATTTATCATTGCTGCGGGTGGTGTAGCTGTCTGTCCCCTGCAGACTGACTCATGCACTGCTGCCATTTGCTCTGGGCCACAAGTTGATTAAGTCGCATATGGAGAGGAGCTACCCCCCGTCTTTCAAAGTGAATTAAGGATCGCAGAGCTTTGATGTGCAGATTTACAGGTCTTTGTTTTTCTATCTTTAGCCCTGTGACTGTGTTTTTCCTCCTAGTCTTGCTCCTTTATTTCACACAGAACAGCCAAGGCAACGCAATTATATCTGGCCTTACACCACCCCCCACAGGAGGACGGCTTCATGGTGACCGCTCACTGCCGAGCGATCCACCTGAGACACGGCTGCACAGTCCCCGCCAAGCTTGCTCTTAGCTAAATCCCTGACATCACAGCACGTTAGCATCAAACACGTCTCCTGATGTCACCGGTTGATGATTCTTCACACCTGTCTTGTGACTGTTCACCACAAAAATCACTGTGGCCTCTCACCAAAAAAAAGTCAGGCTACATAATTCCTCGCACTTCTTTCCACTGATACTGTCTATGAGGGCGACATGAGCCAGCCAGTGGTTATTCATCTTAATGTGAGCGGTTAACTCTGGGTCGGCTCCACACAAAAACACAACTATCCCCATGAACCTCTTCCTATCCTCCTACTCGCTGACTTGATTTTTAGGAATACATTTCGCCCTCTCATTGAAACCTTAATTACTTCTAAAGGAGATTAAATTATAGGTAATTATTATGATAATATTTTCATTTATTCAAGATAACAGGCAGACTTTAGAGAACACAGAATTTGTCGGGAGAGAGCAATCTGCCTTACACAGTCAAAGTTATCAAGGCGTGAAATCAAGAATCCTGACGACAACAAAATGTAATCTTTTTCTTACAGAGGGGACAATAGAAGGAGATGCATACTCCAAGTCTTCTTCTCCACTTTAATTAAAACAGCTCACTGAATCTCTCCCTCTCTCACTCCCCACCCCCGTCTCTCTCTTAAGTGTAGAGGGCCAATTCTATCTCTAAGCAGAATCTAGTTATTTTCCTCGCACTGAACTTGTCTTAAGCCCTGGCCCTGGATCTTTGTTGAGCAATTGCTTTTTCTGGCACATTTTTATTATTTTCTCTCCCTCCTTCTTTTCCCTCCTTTATTGAAATGGAGGTGGCATTGAGAGATATATTGTGATTACGTTTGGCGGACTGCAAACAAAAACCCTGCATTGACAATGGGATGGTGGGATGGTGACAGTGGGGTGAGGAAATGGGTAAGAATAAGAACTTTTTTTGGGACGGACTTAAATGTCACAAAAAAATATGCCCTTTAAAAATATGTTCTATTGTGTCACCGCAATGATCCAGTGGGTGCTTACGCTTTACATTCATCTGAAATACAACTCTGTGTGTTCCCTCTGGTTTTAAATCATTTACAGTGTGCGATGATAAACACTGTATGGTGTTTGTCATAAAGTCTGCGTTTGTATACAACTCTCCAGTGAATCATATCAAAGGATTTATATGCAAGTGTTCTCTGGAAATGCTGCCTTGTGACTTTGCAGAAGAGCAATGTAGTAAAGGGTGATTGAAAGGACATTCAGACAACATTCACCAATGACTTCATGGGAGAGAGAATTAGCTGGCGAGAGACAAGTTGGCATTTAGAAACTGGAAAGAGGTAAGAAAGTGCGCGTTTGATTTTCGATACCAGTCCAGTTAATGAATGCTGCCCTTCCACATTCCAAATGTCCTCATTATCTGCATACTGTACTTTTTGTTTTGCATATATGTTAAATACATCTTACAATATTCAGAGCTTTTTTTAAGGTGTCTTGCTGCCACAATGGCATTGAGGACGATTCACAGCCTCGGTTTCCTCCTCGTTTTTGCGGTCACTCCTACTCACCCCCTTGTACCTCTCCCCTCCCACCTCTCCTCCCCCCTGAGAGTCTTCTAGCCCGAGGGCAGGTAGGGCATCTCATTGTGATAGTTATAGTCCGGGCAGACTTTTTGGACCAGGCGGTAGTCCGTACTGTAGAAGGAAATGTAGATACAGATGACCTTGAAAGGCTTGGAGCAAATCCAGGACACGTGGCTCTGAATCTGCTCCTGAAAGCAGGTCTTAGACGGGTCGTAGTTGCACAGCGAGGTGCGCTTGCTGCGATCCACCTTTTCATAGTCCACGCGGCAGTTGAAGATCTTTGAGTCCTTGGGGTAGACTACGCTCTGGCGCTCCAGGTCAAACTCCACCGCCTTGACAGGTGGCACCAGGCTGACTGAGATGTTGCCCTGGCCCGTGGAGTTGTGACGGAAGTAGACGCTGAACGTGCCGTTACCGTGGTCCACGATCTTGCCGGTGATTAGCAGGTTAAGCCTCACCGTCTTGATATTGGAATAGAAGTCTCCCCAGCCAAACATCTTCTTGAACTTCCCGGTCTTAACGATGGGCCGACGTTTGACCCTGGAGCTGGAGGAGTCGGGTTTGAGCAGGTCGCTCCCCAACATCTCCCAGAATTCCTGTTTAGAAAACTCCTGCTTGGAGAAAGGGAGGGGGGTGCGGTAGGGCAGCTCCAGGGAGGTGGTGTTAGCAGCTCTACTCTTACTCTGGAGCATCCAGCGGCTCAGGGGCGACAGGGGGGCCTGCCCACTCAGGAGGCCCACCGTCTTGGAGGAGTCGTCTGAAGAGCTCTTGGTGCTTGAAGAGTCGTCTTCGTGACCCAGGGCCACCTAGAGAGAGGAGGTGGGGGTGGGGGGTGGGGGGTGGAAGAAGAAAATAGAGAAAGAAAGTACAAAGTTATCAGCAAGGTAGAAAGAAAAGTGTACGGAAAACAAATTAAAGGTTTAATCGATACTTAATTTACCGCTCACACCTCTAGTGGTAGTCGCCATGACATTCTATCAATGTTATATATATAAATAAAAGCTTGAAATTTCGCAGGTATTGCTATTATTACATTCTTTTGTTTACCCTGGCCGTGAGAGAAAATTCTCCTTTATGTCTAGTTTTCGCAGAGCCGATGTAATTCCCTAAGCTCTCCAGTAATGGGCTCATATGCCTCCTTCGAGCTACTTGAGGCCAGAGGGATCAGAGAACAGATTTAAAGAGAAAATCCACACTAAAACTGAATTCACATCAAGTGTGTTACTCCTGTGGTCTCGGGCAGTTAAATCAATATTTGTGAAGGTGGACAATTTTCTACAAAGTCTATAATCCTGTAAAACAATAAAGCTCTGTCATTAAGAAACACTTTCAAGAGTTATTTCTCTGACAGCAAAGGTCTTGAGGTTGATTTATGCACTTAGAAAGTGTCTTGATGCACCACAACAAGCAGCATTCATTTTAAGAACTACCTTCTGCATCCTCTAAGGCAGTGGTTCCCAACCTGGGGGCCAAAGATCGCAGGGCCAGGCCTCAGATGATTTGAGGCCAAATATGATATTTCGACTTTTTTTTTTAAATTTTTTTTTTTTAGTGAAGTTAGTAGCTATTATAGGCATAAAAACACAGAAATGTATAATTCTTTCTTTAATAGAAATGTTTCTTCTGCCCGTAAAGTGTCCAAACCGGGCTTTTCTGGATAAGCGCATTTTTAAAACATAGTCATTGTCCATACCGGTTTCAGTTGGATTATTTGTCACAGTTGCTCCGATCAGATCGGTCTCCTCCATTTTGTAGATTATTTACGTCTTTTGAATCCACATAAACACATCGGCAAAATCCGGCTTACTTTGAGCATGTGTTTTAAACAGTTTAATCCCTTTGTGAATTGTTTCCACTTGCGCCGTCCTTTAATTTCTTCATACAGCGGGAATCCAAATGAATGAATCCTGAGTCCAATAACCATCAAAGTCACTCCAATAGTGCTCCTTAATTACGCTTTCGTCC